TGCTGTGCTGTCCTGGCCACCCGGAGTACACACCCTAGCCCTGGGCTCTCCCACCCCACTCAGTGCTGTTATCCTGGCCACCTGGCCTGAGAGGACACTCCCCAGTCGCAGGCTGTCCCACCCCATTCAGTGCTACTCTGATATGGCCGCCTGGCTGGTCTGTCTTGCCTCCGACTGCCAGCCTGTGGCTCCCCTTCAGCTGGGTTTCTCTATGCTGCCTGTCTCTGCCTTGTGCAGGCTTTTGTATTTGCCAGGAACGGCTCACTCCTGTCTCACTGTTTTAAGTTCTGTTCAGTCTCAAGCCCATCTCAGTTCCTGAGCCTCATGAAATCTTCCCCGAATTGCTCTAACCTGGACAAGTTCGACTTTCTTTGAAATCCCTCTCAGTTGATGTTATTATCATTTCCCCTAGCTTTGTCATTTGTGAGCTAGCTTTTAAAACATGGTACAATTACTTGATTGCTCCAAGCCTCAGTTTTCTCATCTGTAAAATGGGGACATTAACATCTACATCATGTGACTTGTGACAATTTCACTAGGAAATGAACATAAATGCCTAGCACAGGGCCCGGCATTGAATAACTGTAACGAGTTTTATCTGTTGAGTATTTTCTTTTCGTTGCACACATTTACCTCGGCAGCCAGATGGTGAGTGTGGGAAGAACAGAAGCCACGTCTGCCATGGTGGCACTCAGCACGGTGCGGCACTCAGCACGGTGTGGTACTCAGCACGGTGTGGTACTCAGCACGGTGTGGCACTCAGCACGGTGCGGCACTCAGCACGGCCGAGGGGCTTGCTCAGTAAAGACTCGCTGAGCAGTTGCAGGGCTAATTGGTGGTTGGTTGATGGCTTAATTAATTCATCAATTTACTGTTTCAAAAATCTAGACTAGTCTGGAAGCGTGTGTTAGCCCGTGGGCTCTGGACGCAAGGGGCATTCCGTTTTGCTGACTGAACTTCTGCAAGGCGCCCTTAGGAGTCAGAAGCTGATGCGGTGTAGGAGCTTGGTGGGATCGCTCTGCTGGGGTGCAGCTGGCATGGTTGGGCTCAGCTTCGGGCCTTCTCCTTCTGGAATGGCCCTGTGGTGTTCTCCCACACGGCATCAAGACCTCACGTGTCCAGGTCACTGCTGAGTGTGCATTACAGTCTCCTAACGCGTTTCATAATGAACCAACATAGTTTACAGAAAGTTAACTGGGCTGCAATATTGATTCGTTAGAAACAATGTCCAGCCTTTCCATCGTATCTGCTTACTGGTCTTCTGTTTCTTACCGTGTTCACTGTCGTCAGTGGATATTAATTAACCTGCTAAGTAGGTCTTCAGAAAGCTGACAGTACCGGTAAAAAATGTCACTTGAGCTTTTGTTTTTAACCTAAGGGGAATATTACAGAAGTATTTCTTCATTCATATTGTCCATGTGGAAGTTAAGGCACAGGAACTAACTGTAAGCTGCCAAGGTTAAGGCCCAAAATTAGCTCACCCTGCGTCTCTGAGACCATGCGAACCCTCCGCCTGCTGCTAGTTTTTGGGGTGATATTGCTACCAATTCCCCTCTTTAGGAAACTGTATTCCATCATTGCTGGTGGCAACATCTATTTTGACTTCCTCCCAAATTGGCTTTTACTAAAGGTTTTCTTGTGGCTTAGAGTTTAGGGGCGGTGTCGTGAATTTCCCAGCTCCATTTTCCTTCTCCCTAGGCAGCTTTGCGAGGGGACCTTCTCCTTGGCTCCCGTGTGCCATCCTGCACACGATGAGGTTTCTTGAGCTTGCATGGGAGCCACGCCCTCCCTCCCTGTGGTGCCTCTGCCCCGTCTGTGTGGGTCCGTGCTGAGCATTCTTGGGAGTGTGCCTCCCCTGCCAGCTGGAAGAGCTGCACCTTCCTGGGCCGCAAAGGTGATGAGAAGGAAGAGATGCTGTAGAGTCTGATGGGTGAGATGGGAAGGTGGGCGGCACCTCTGGTTTGATGAGCAGGGCACTCACCTTTTGTTCACATCCCCTGCCCCCCGCCAGGGTTGATTGTTCCTGGCGAGTGCCTGGCCCGGTTGTGCCAGTCTGCCTCCTCCTCCAGCAATTTGGGGTGAGGTCTAAGGGTTGGCTCATCTTTAGGTGCCTGGTCAGGGGATGTCAGGCCCTGGTGCTCCCGGTGGCTTTGCCTTCTGCCCTGTGGACATACGGGAGCCAGGGCGGAGTGAGAAAGAGAAACGGAGCAGCTGAGGGTGGGAGCACGTGTCTGGGGCTCGGCAGCCCCACAGCCCAGCATAGCTCCCACCTCTTGGTGCTGAGACACCCCAGGCTCCTCAGGCTCAATTTCCCTTTACTGGCGCTAGTTGGAGTCTGGCATGTGAGCTGCTGCACACTGTGCTGTCACTGTGTGGAGTGCACAGGCTGTGTCCTTCTGACAGCTGGCCTGAACCTGGCCGTCCTCACCACGATCAATGCTTGCTTCCAGCCCTGTCCCTGCCGTTCTGCCTGGCGCTGCGCCAGCTACCTGGCTGGGCCGAATAGAGTCTCACCGCGGACGTTTGGGCATGGTGTTCACAACCTAAGAGTAACCCTGCCATGCTCTCACGTGCTTACGCGTGCTGGTGTCTGCTCTGCCACCCTCCCTGCCCCACCCTGGGTGTACCTTTCAGTCTGCACAGGCTTCCTGAGGCCCCGACTGGGCAGTGGCTCCCACCTCCTCCTCTGTGTGCTCCTGGCGCCTTCCTGCTTGGTCCCTGTGCAGGAGGCATGCCCGCCAAGTGTCCCTGCACCGCAGGAATGCAATTAACATTTCCTGCCTGGAACAGAATTAGCCCTTCAGCTCACTATGGAGAGGGGATCAGTAAGTCACCCTTGGCATGTACGACGGTAGAGCAGATCGTTTACCAGGGAGATGGTAAAACAAAAGCCCCAGCTTTCCCTAAGGAGACATCCTTTGGCCTCCCAAAGGTCATTGTATTGTGGGGATGAGAGTGGTGAGCCAGCGTGGGCAGGGACCCGGGGACAGGGGAGCTGGGCTGTGGGCACACAGGAGGCTCTCTATAAACCAGAGAAGGAGCCCAGCAGCAGCCATCCACCTGAGGGCTGGGAGGGAGCAGCCAGGTCCACTACGCAGCCACAGCCAGCCTGCCAGTGCTCCTTGTCCAAGCGATTACTCAGAGAGCACCTCCAACCGTCACTGATCACTGTGGCTCTTCTCCCGGCTCTCAGTGAGGCCCAGGTGCCACCCCAGCCCTAACCCCTTGCCTGTGCCCAGATGTGAACATATACTCTCATGCATGCCTAGGTGCAGACACAGCCCTGTCACCTCTGCCTGGATGCAGACACCCCTCTGTGCCTGCCCAGATGTGGACACACCCCCCACAGCTGCCCAGATGCAGACACACCATGCCACCTCTGCCCAGATGTGGACATGAGATGCAGGCACAACCTCCTGACTCCTGCCCAGATGTGGAGTCATGAGTACCCTGTTCCCCCAGTGGGTGTCTTGTGTCCCCACCTTCTCTTGGTCTCCTCTCACCTCCATAAGGCTCTGCCAGGAAGGTGGCTTTCAGTTTCCAAAAACTTTTCCTAAGTATCAGAGTAGGCGTTGGGAAGGGAGATGGAGTTGCGGTTCTTCCTGAGCCTGAGGCCCCTTCTCCCTGACTGAGCATAGCATCTGCATCTCTTACTGATGACTGTCCCTCTCAGCTTCTGACCAGGACTGTTCGGGGTTCTCAGTCTCTCTCACAGCCCTTGTGCATAGGACTGGAGGGACACCAGGTTCTTGTGGCTCATGCCTCCCAGTGCCACCTCTGAAATGGGGAGGCCTCTTGCTGGGAGGTCCCAGGAGCTCTGCAGCCGGCGTGCTCTCCCGGGAAGCCCTTTACCTGTGGCTGAGACGGTGCACTGTTTCTCACTGGGAGCCACCTGTCTTTCCCTTCTGCCTGGCGGTTTCCAGGCACAGCCCCTGCCTGTCTCTGCAGCGGGCACTCATTCTGTTGGGACCTCCAGGCCTTGTTCACCCAGAGCCTAGATGCCCACCCTGCCCCTGCCCAGCAAAGCCCCTCAGTCAATCTTGTGGGATGGTGAATAAACTCCAGCAGCAGCTCGGTCACTGGCCTCTCATAGCCTGTCTGGCAGCTTGTTCAGACCTGTTCTTGGCCTGGCCTGGCCCGGCCCACGTCACCAGCCACCTGCCTCAGGCCTCTCTCTGGTTTGAAAGTTAAAGGAATTAGTGGTGGGAACTGTGTCCCTCGGGAGGAGTTGGGGACAGGTGTGACAGGACCCTGCGACAGTCCTGGACCCTTCCTGCCTTCAGCAGTGATCCTGTGCACTGACATTCAAACCTGAAATGGACACAATGATGTAGCCAGCACACACGACCTCCGTGGATGTAATCCCAGGAGGGCAGAAGAACCAGATGGGGATCTTCTCCCAGGCTCACGACGGGGCCTCACCCTCTGTTAGGCAGGTGGTGGGTTTATCCCTAACAGCAGCCCCAGAGGGCCTTGCTGAGGTCATTGCGATCAGCTCAGTGGCTTGGGGCTGTCTGATTAACTTCCATGTGAAGGCCGTGAAGGCCGTGTGGGCCTTGAGATGAAGGGGAGGGAAGGGGGTGTGCCCTGAAGACAGTATTTGATCAAGCGAAATGTCTGTCCCCTTGTTATTCTGGAACTGGTCGGGTGGACTTGACTCTCTGTGCCTCTGTTTTGGGGAAGGCCAGACGTTTGGGTTATTTTGTGTTGTGTTTTCAAGCTGGAGTTGGTTATCCGGAGTCACGTATCGCACGCGAGTGCTCTTTAATAGAGCCCTGTTGATATGCTTGCTATTTTTTGCTGTGCTCAGTTTTATAGGTTTTCCCAAGTAAGGTTCAAACGTTGTTGCTGTTGAAGCAGAGGAAACAAAGAGCTTCCTGATTGTTCTCAGCAGCGACTCTCCCCAGTGCCCTTGACTATAGGACATCCTCTCGAACTTTCTGAGCAGACGTCAACTCTTCTTCCTTTCCTCTTCCTTTCAAACATGCCGACACTCGCAGCTGGCCAGCTCAGCGTCTCTGGAAGGAAAGGGACAGCTGAGGTTCACCTCAGGGCGGTGGAGCCCTCACCACAACTGCACCCAGGTGGCCACAGCCAGTGACACCACCCTTCGTGGCTGGGACACCCGGAGCATGAGGTCAGTGAGCCCACCCTGCGCAGACTGGTGTCCCACTCCCTTCCTTCCCCCTTGCCCAGCAGAACCCGGGTGATGGTGGCGGCGGTCACGAGCCAGATGCATTTGGGGGCATGTGGTTCGTTTGCCTTCATCTCGCTTTTCAGGAAATCATAAATCTTCCTCTTGTTTCTTCACCCTAAATTGAGCTAGCACGTCCACTGTGGTGGAACCGGCGCGCCCCGGTGGCTGTTTGCTGTTCCATCTTGCTATCTCTGCATTAGCAGCGGTCTGTGCTGAAAACCAGGAACTGGGGTTTCGTAGCACTGAGCGCGATGGGACCACGGGGTGCCCATCTCTGATGAGCTGCTGCAGCCTGACTGGGGCAGTCCCAGGTTCCGTCTCTCCTGGGGCCGTCTCTGACCATGGCTGTGCCTTCCAGAGATGCACCTTTAGGGCCACCATATTTTGTCATTTAAGTAATTATACACAACAGCCAGCAGCTCTAATGGAACAAATAAGAGCGAGTTTTCCGTTCCAGTTGTGATTTTGATAGGCAAAGGAGTGATGGTAGCAGGTATGTTGCCGTGGCAACGGAAGCCCGCACAAGCTTTTTAAGATACAGTTTATCCCTCAGCCACCATAATTTATCACCGAGCTGAGAAGACGGATGTCATGCCGTAACTCGTGTTGATTCCAGGGTGGGGCACCGCTTCAGATTTGGTTCCAGGGCCCCTCTGGAAACTGAGGGCTAATAGATAATCAGTCGCCATGTCCCCCCTCGTGCACGTCTGTGCCGGCTTCTTTGGTTTCCTGAGCAGAGCTGGAAACCACAGGCTCAGCCCATGATGAACGTTCGGCTGAATCCATTTCTCCATGTCCTTTGCTCAGCGTGTCCTTAAGTCTGGATTGTGCTTCGAAGGATGTGAAGAATTTCAGTATCTGAAGATAAGAAACTCAAAGGCTGATGTTACAGACCAAGCCAGCAAACAAAGATACCCGTGGCTTTGGTGGGCAACGCCTGGTGGTGGCTTCCTCGCTCTCTGTGGCGAGGACGTGCCAGCACAGCACAGAGGGTCCCGATGCCTTCTCATTGACTGTCATTTCTCCTTTGGCACACAGCTTTGGTTTGCATGGAGCCAGGAGGCCCTTTGGTGCTTTTTTAGGTGGTGTGATGCTTTTAAGTGACAGTTCCTGGCCCTGGAGCACACAGGAACCTTTAGTTAATACTTCGTACATGTGTGACTGGCCCTCCAGCTCCCTGGCAATTTGCCAGGTTTTTAATTTTCTACCTTTGCCTGTTTCCCTTGAAAGATTTAAAGGTTTAGCTATTATATTTTAGGGGAGAAATATTAAGATATTGAAAAGATGCAGGATATAAAAACCAGAAGATTTAAAAGTGGTTTAGGGCTAGGAGTTCTAATGTGAGAGAAAAAAGATGAAAGGAATTGAGTTCATCTACCTCGGAGAGCAGAGAACAATGACAGTCTGCAGATGAGTGAAGCAAATCACAAGGCACGCGGTTCCCCATCGCTCATCAGCGCCTCTGACGCCTGTGGGTGAGGAAGTTAAATGATTCAGGAGTGATTTCAGTCCCACCCCCGGGAGAGCGGGGGAGGCCGTGCAGGCAGAAGCCGCCGGGCAGTACCGGGCCGTGGGCCCTTTGCTCTCCTGGGTGCAACCTCTATTCCAAGCCACTGTCCAGCCTCACTGGATGCCCTGCCCTCCAGGATTCCTGGCATCAGAGGCCACGGTAGGCAGGATACGATGACTTCAGCCCCTGTGGAGTAGCCACGGACTCTGGGCCAGGACTCACCGAGGCGTGTGGCTGTGTGTGTGCGTGTCTGCCCTCTTACACGTGGATGTGTGCATGTGTATACCTCTGTGTGGGTGTGTGCACAGATTTACGCGTGCATGTCTGAGAGAGAGAACACATGCACTGTGAACAACCGCGTGACTCATTTCAAACAGTCCCTTCCCCTCCCAGAGGGAGGGGGTTGCCCCGGCCTCCACCAGCGTTGCCCCTGGAGCTGGTGTGGACAGTCGAAGGGCAAAAGCGCAGCTGGCACGGACACTGGCCTTCACATTTCCACGGCCTTCCAGCTGCTCTTCCCTGTCTCTCTCCATAGAGACAGACAGGTAGATACTCTGTGTGTGTGTGTGCGTGTGTGTAATTTCCCAACACTGTGTTCTACCTTCACTCCCTGTCTTTCTCTTCTTTTCTTTCCTCACTGCACCCTTCCAGAATTTGCCAGGCGTCCTGTCCAAACGTCTGCTTCCGCGTCCCTGTGGCCGTGCAGCCCCTCTGGCACGCTCTCATTCTCAAGATACCAAGTCACATTTTTGACGGCTGCAAAGCAAAATCTCTTCCCCAGCTTGCCCGGAGGGTCACAGATATGCTCCTGGAAAGATGAGCGTGGCGTGACCGCAAAGGGCGTCTGGGATAGAGGCGCCGGCGGCAGCCGCCTCCTGCAGGGGAGGGTCGTCGAGGGGCGAGGGCACCCCGGGCCGGGGATTAGACAGGATCTCGGGAAAGCAGTGTGTGCCCACAGCACTCAGTGGCTCTTCATAATCCGTTTCACATTTTCCTGTGTTGTTTCTCCTTCTCCCTCAGCCAGATCTACTGCATAGAGAATGCCCACGGCCAGCTGGTGCGGGACCTTGACTTTAATCCCAATAAGCAGTACTACTTGGCCAGCTGCGGAGACGACTGTAAGGTGAAGTTCTGGGACACCCGAAATGTCACCGAGCCCGTGAAGACCCTGGAGGAGCACTCCCACTGGTAGGGCCGCTCCCGGCGCGGCTGCAGGGAGAGGGGATGGATCATGCAGTTTATCTTGCTAATTACTTCACACACTGGCTCACTTTGTGCTGCTACGAATCATTCAATCAACCCAGTTTTATTTTTCCTAAAGAAGCACTAATTCCAAATGTGAATGTTTGTGATTTATAAACGTAGGAAAAGAAAAAAAACATTAAATTCTGTTTTCTCTTGAAGCAGTGCTGGTTCAAGTATGCAAAAATAAATGTGCACAGATGTCGATGCGGCATTGTTTGTAACGCCGGGAACCTGGAAACCACCCAAAGGTCCAGCACTAGGGTGCTGGTTAAGTAAATTAGGTGACATCCGTGCAGCTGCCAGAGGAATGTGGGCGTCTCTGTGTGGATGCGGAAGGGCGCCTGAGACTGCTCGTTCTCCCTCACGTATTACTTGAATGTTTCTCATGTGCTGGGTACTTTTTGCTAAGTCAGTAAAAAGACCACGTTGTAGAATGGCATGTATGACATGAATCCATTTATATGCAAATAAAGTGTGTGTGAGCGGCACACATGGGTGTACACACATGTGAGTGACACACACCGTGTGGAGGAAATCCCTGACAGAGTCGGAGCCAGAATCTCATCAGGGATCCTCCCGCACTCAGAGAGAGCCTCCGCCTCCGGTGGCCTGCATCCCGAGTTGGCTGAGTTTCTTATCCAAAGCTGTATTGTTTTTGCAGTCGGAAAGGAAAGCCCCGGATTACTAGTGCACAGTTTTCATGAATCCAGTGACTTCCTAGAGTTTCCTGTGGTTTGAGTGGCCGGGCCTCCCTGTGCCCTGGCTGTGCTGGGTGTACCTCCTGGTGTCAGGGGCCCGGCCTTGTCTGCCACCCGGGCCCTGGACCTTGTTTTGGCCTCAGCACGACTAGGAGGCAGAAGCTCCCAGGCTTTAGGACCCACGTCAGAAAGAAAGCCGATCCCAGTAGCCAAAGCCAAGGAGAGCCCCTTGTGTCCCGGGAGGCTGCCACACCCTGGTGTCAGGACCCACAGTCACCGGTCACTGCCCACTGGGAAGACACCGTGAGGCTTGTTTGCTGTTACAGGTTATTGCTAATCCACATGCTGCTCCTGGCAGGTGTTTCTTCTCAGATTGTAGAAGCTTGAGTGCTAAGTCTTCCTCTTGCAGGTTCAGCCAGCACTGGGTCTTCCCTATCTGTTTGTTGGCACTTAAGAGAACCCACAGTAAACCCAACTCAGCCAAAAACTACCTTCTGTCAGGCCCTGTGACTGGGGGCCGATTGCCTGGCAGTGCCCAATGTGAGCCCCAGCCTCGGGGGCCTCAGAGCCGGTGCGCTGCGGTGCTGGTGCTGGCCGCAGGTGATGGGTCCTCTCACGAGCTGCCTTGCCTTTTGCAGGGTGTGGAACGTCCGCTACAATCACTCTCACGACCAGCTGGTCCTCACTGGCAGCAGCGATAGCAGAGTCATGCTCTCCAACATGGTGTCCATCTCATCGGAGCCCTTTGGCCACCTGGTAGATGACGACGACATCAGTGACCAGGAGGACCACCGTTCCGAAGAGAAGTAAGGGCACGCACTGCAGAGGCTCATGCGTCCCAAGCCTTTGTTTCCTGCAGGCCATCTCCTGAGCCAGGCTGTGGATATAAAATGCTGCTAGGTGTGCCGTTGGGGACCTTCTTCTTCCCCACTGCAGCTGTGGGGACTCATAGTGCCAGGTGTGCCGTTGGGGACCTTCTTCTTCCCCACTGCAGCCGTGGGGACTCATAGTGCCAGGTGTGCCGTTGGGGACCTTCTTCTTCCCCACTGCAGCCGTGGGGACTCACAGTGCCAGGTGTGCTGTTGGGGACCTTCTTCTTCCCCACTGCAGCTGTGGGGACTCACAGCTCCAGGTGTGCCGTTGGGGACTCACAGTGCCAGGTGTGCCGTTGGGGACCTTCTTCTTCCCCACTGTAGCTGTAGGGACTCACAGTGCCAGGTGTGCCGTTGGGGACCTTCTTCTTCCCCACTGCAGCCGTAGGGACTCACAGTGCCAGGTGTGCCATTGGGGACCTTCTTCTTCCCCACTGCAGCCGTAGGGACTCACAGTGCCAGGTGTGCCATTGGGGACTTTCTTCTTTCCCACTGCAGCCATGGACACCCACACCTCCAGGTGTGCCGTTGGGGACCCACAGCTCCAGGTGTGCAGTTGGGGACCTTCTCCTTCCCCACTGCAGCCGTGGGGACTCACAGTGCCAGGTGTACCATTGGGGACCTTCTTCCCCACTGCAGCTGTGGACACCCACAGCTCCAGGTGTGCCGTTGGGGACCCACAGCTCCAGGTGTGCGGTTGGGGACCTTCTCCTTCCCCGCTGCAGCTGTGGGGACGCAAAGCTCCAGGGGTGCTGTCATTAGCAGCCCAGGTGGCTTAGGTGGCAGGTGGGTTAGGGTTAGTTGCAGTTTTAAAATAGATTTCTCTATATTTGTGTTTGTATTCTTATGCATGTCATCTGTAAGATTTAAAAGACTGTCAGTGGTCTTCAGACTTCAGCATGAATAATGTGAATGAATGTATCCTGATCCTCATAGCACTCCCTGTCAGAGAGGTATCAAATTCGTGTCTTCACTGGTGTGGATTGGAGGGTGTGGGGCTCGGGTTTTTGGCCATCAGCTCCCAGGCCCTCCGCTGGATGGTAGACGGGCTGAGGCTCCAGGCCAGCCTTCCCTGGCTCAGACCCAGGTCCTGCTTACTTTCTGGAGACTCTGCAAAATGTGGGCAGCCATGATGTGTGTTTTCTAGTGATACCATCATGGTTCTGGATTTTCCCAAAGCTTTTCCCTATGCACTTTGATTTCCAATCCTAGTTGAGATGGGAGATTGCTAAGGGCACCCTCTTCATGCCCACATCTCATCAGCAGTGCTGTGCCGGGACCCCTGTGTCTTTGAGTGTCCACCTTCACAAGCGGCACCTACTTCCTGGGGGGTGACTGGGTGCGATTCAGATGCAGCATGGAGATTCATGCCCACGTTCCAGAGGAAGGAGGTTCTGGAATAAAACCCGGTGGAGTTGGACAGCTTGAGCCCTTAGATCTGATGGGCTGTGTCCCTCCGTTTTGGGATCCTTTGCACTGTTTTTGTCTGAATTCTTCTCTGCCCACTTGAACTTGGTCTGGACTCCTCTGTGAGAGTCCTCTGTCTTGGCCCTTCTCCGCACTGGCAGTCGGCCCCTCTGTGTCTCGTGACTCTGTTGGTTTTGTTTTTGAGACAGGGTCTCACTGTCACCCAAGCTGGTATGGAGTGGCACGATCAGCGCTCACTGCAGCCTTGACTTCCTGGGCTCGGGTGACCCTCTCACCTCAGCCTCCCAAGTAGCTGGGACAGCAAGTGCACACCACCATGTCTGGTGAATTTTTTGTATTTTCATTTTTTGTAGAGACATAGTTTTGCCATGTTGCCCAAGCTCATCCCAAACTCCTGAGCTCAAGCGATCTGCCCACTTCACCCTCCCAAAGTGCTAGCATTGCAGGCGTGAGCCCGACTCTGCTGTTTTTCTGTTCAGTAATTAGAAACTGAGCCCACCTAGAATGGTATTGAAGCACTCGTACGGTGGCGTCTGCCCAGCGGTCTCCCGGGGCCTGTGGGCCTGGCCTTCTTTACCGTCTTCTCTGTCATGCCCAGGAGACCTGCGCCTCCTCACCACGTCTGTCCCTGTTAGGGGAGGAGCCTGAGGGCCCTTGGTGAGAAGACAGTGTTGGTTGCCCGGTTGTCCTCCAGGCGGCGGTGTCATGGGAGCAGGATAGGAAGGAAGGAGGTGACTGGGGCGGCACGAAGGTCTTGGGACATCCCTCAGCCCTGGTGTCCTGCTGCGTTCAGGAAACTGTTATTCCCCCAAGGATGTTCACCTGGCATTTGTCACATCAGTTGACCATTGGCAGGTTCACTTCCTGGGAAGCCAACTTCCCCAGAGGGTGGGCGAGTTCCGGAGGGCTCACCTCGCTGTGGGGGAAGCATTTTCCTACAAAGAAATGCAGAAGTGGGTAGAATGAGGTGCACACATTCAGTGGGAATTTTCTGTGAAATGGGAAAGAAAGTGCGAGGATTCCCTGGTCAACGCTTCCAGTGAGGAGAACCCAGTCAAGGGGGGCAAGGTGGGAAACTCCCTTGGTGGGGCCAGGCAGGTCGTGGCCCTGCTGTCCCCACTGGGCCAGCGTTTCTTCCTCTTGGTGTCCTGTGGGGGGCATCCTCAGCCCAGCCCCACCCCCATCCTAGCAGGGCCCCTCTCGCCCCAGCCTCCTACTCCTACACAGCCAGCAGCTGGACCTGCTGCTTCCCAAGGTCCTTTCTGCTCAAGTAGTAGGGGTTTTCATGTCCTGCGTTACCCAGACGTGGTGACCACTCCCCCCTGAGCACAGGAAGCCCTTGGAAGACCTCCAACAGGATATCACCCCAGGCCCTGCTGGCCAAGGACAGAAGACAGCAAGACACCATGTGTTACTCACGCTGATTTCCATAAACCATTTGAGAAATGCCCGCTCCGCACAGCGACAGTGAGGGTGTCTGGGCTTCTGCAGGGACCACCCCACTGTCCTCAGCGTGGGCTCCTCTAATTTTTCCCATCACACAGCAGAGAGAGCTGAGACCCCAGGACCTCCCGTGTACCCTGATGGGGACACTCGCGTCCTCCCTGCGCCTCTCCCGCCCACGCCTCCGGAGCCGTCACACTCACGTCTGTCTCTGTTGCGTTCCAGGAGCAAGGAGCCTCTGCAGGACAACGTCATTGCCACCTACGAGGAGCACGAGGACAGCGTCTACGCCGTGGACTGGTCCTCAGCTGACCCGTGGCTGTTTGCCTCCCTGAGTTATGACGGGAGGCTGGTTATCAACAGGGTCCCCAGGGCCCTGAAGTACCACATCCTGCTCTAACTCGAGGCTGTGGGTTATCCAGGTTCCACCGCGTGGTTATCCTCGAGGCTGTGGGTTATCCAGGTTCCACCGCGTGGTTATCCTGGTGGCTGTGGGTTATCCAGGTTCCACCGCGTGGTTATCCTGGTGGCTGTGGGTTATCCAGGTTCCACCGCGTGGTTATCCTCGAGGCTGTGGGTTATCCAGGTTCCACCGCGTGGTTATCCTGGTGGCAGTTTCTCACACAGTCGCGGCTCTTCGGAGGTGATTGGTCTTCCAGGTGACTTCCGCTCTGGGAGAGCTGTGTGGCCTTCCTCCAGCTGCAGCGTTTATGAATGGGGTGGACGGGCTGCTGTCCATGGCACAGACCCTGTCAGTGGAGGCGGAACCCCATGTTGTTATGTGAATAACATGTTTTCTGTTTCAGGGGTGTTGAGAGTTTCTCTTTTTAAAAAAAGTCTGTCCCTGTCAGAGTAATTCTTCTTTCTCTTGAGAATAAAACATGAACTAAGTCCATGCTGCACGATGCCCGGCTCGTTCTTTCGGGAGCTCCATCTTTGCCAGCGTCTCCTGGGTTGTGGTCCATATTCTCTTTCCTGACCCAGGAAGATGCAGATTGTCAGAGGTGCGCTCTCCACGCTACCCTAGCATGGAACTCCTGGGGTGGTGCTGGCTGCGGCAGTGGTGGGCACCCGGCACGTGTCCTGGGCTGAGCTGCTGAGATGCGTTTCCTCTGCTGTAGACACAGGCTCTGCCCTGCCTGGGACTCCCTGGTTTCCCCTGGTCTCTGTGGCTGTCCTGATGCGTGTCCACAGCTGTAGATGGAGACTCTGCTCTGTCTGGGCCTCCCTAGTCTCCGCTGTCTCTGCGGCTGTCCTGATGTGTTTTCATGGCTGTAGACATAGGCTCTGCTCTGTCTGGGCCTCCCTGGTCTCCCCTGGTCTCTGAGGCTGTCCTGATGTGTTTCCACAGCTGTAGATGCAGGCTCTGCTCTGTTGGGGCCTCCCTGGCCCCCTTGGTCTCTGAGCCCGTCCTGTGGTGTGTCCTGCTCACCTTGGCTGGTGGCCTTGGAGGTGCTGTCCTCCCTCACCGGAGAGCTTGGGGTTGGGCTCCCGTGTCTCCGTTTTTGGGAACCCCACGCTCATAGGCTCCTGCAATTATCGGCACCCCACCTGAGGAATCCCCAAACACCGATGTCGCAGCCTCTGTCCGCGCTCGCCTGGATGCGCGAGGTCTGTTCTGCACATCTGGTGAGTGTTCCCACTGGAGAAGCCACCTGGGCCCTGAACTCTGGGCTCCACCTCTGTTAGGCCTCCTCCTGGCCACCTGTCCCTGCGGGGGCCACATCTGCACTCTGCTGCCCCGATCACCTCGTCTGTAATGATGAGAGGGGTGGGCTGAGCACACAGGCCCCAGTCAGCTCTGGGGTTTGACGATCCTGGGACAGGTCTCGCCTGACCTGCAATAAGGAACGTTCCTGCCGCAGCTCCCCCTCTGCCCGCATGTGCTTAGCTGCTAAGGACCCTGTGCACCCAGAGGGCCACAGCCTCAATTTTCTTTTCATAGTTGAGGGTTCACAGGAAGTGGAAGCCATGGGGAGGGGTGAAAAGGTGAGGTCCTGGGGGAGAAGTGGATAGGTGTGGAGGGGGGTCCACAGATGGGGACTGTAGGGAGGGGCGTACAGGTGGGTGGGGCCGTGGGGAGGGGTGCACAGGTTGGGGGCCGTGGGGAGGGGTGTGCAGGTGGGTGGGGCTGTGGGGAGGGGTGCACAGGTTGGGGGCCATGGGGAGGGGTGTGCAGGTGGGTGGGGCTGTGGGGAGGGACGCACAGATGGGTGGGGCTGTGGGCAGGGGGCTGTGGGGAGGGACGCACAGATGGGTGGGGCTGTGGGCAGGGGGCTGTGGGGAGGGACGCACAGATGGGTGGGGCTGTGGGCAGGGGGCTGTGGGGAGGGACGCACAGATGGGTGGGGCTGTGGGCAGGGGGCTGTGGGGAGGGACGCACAGATGGGTGGGGCTGTGGGCAGGGGGCTGTGGGGAGGGAAGCACAGATGGGTGGGGCTGTGGGCAGGGGGCTGTGGGAGGGACGCACAGATGGGTGGGGCTGTGGGCAGGGGGCTGTGGGGAGGGGCGCACAGATGGGTGGGGCTGTGGGCAGGGGGCTGTGGGGAGGGACGCACAGATGGGTGGGGCTGTGGGCAGGGGGCTGTGGGGAGGGACGCACAGATGGGTGGGGCTGTGGGCAGGGGGCTGTGGGGAGGGATGCACAGATGGGTGGGGCTGTGGGCAGGGGGCTGTGGGGAGGGGCACACAGATGGGTGGGGCTGTGGGCAGGGGGCTGTGGGGAGGGGCGCACAGATGGGTGGGGCTGTGGGGAGGGACACACAGATGGGTGGGGCTGTGGGCAGGGGGCTGTGGGGAGGGGCGCACAGATGGGTGGGGCTGTGGGGAGGGACACACAGATGGGTGGGGCTGTGGGCAGGGGGCTGTGGGGAGGGACGCACAGATGGGTGGGGCTGTGGGCAGGGGGCTGTGGGGAGGGACGCACAGATGGGTGGGGCTGTGGGCAGGGGGCTGTGGGGAGGGACACACAGATGGGTGGGGCTGTGGGCAGGGGGCTGTGGGGAGGGACGCACAGATGGGTGGGGCTGTGGGCAGGGGGCTGTGGGGAGGGACGCACAGATGGGTGGGGCTGTGGGCAGGGGGCTGTGGGGAGGGATGCACAGATGGGTGGGGCTGTGGGCAGGGGGCTGTGGGGAGGGGCGCACAGATGGGTGGGGCTGTGGGGAGGGACGCACAGATGGGTGGGGCTGTGGGCAGGGGGCTGTGGGGAGGGACGCACAGATGGGTGGGGCTGTGGGGAGGGACGCACAGATGGGTGGGGCTGTGGGCAGGGGGCTGTGGGGAGGGACGCACAGATGGGTGGGGCTGTGGGCAGGGGGCTGTGGGGAGGGCACACAGATGGGTGGGGCTGTGGGCAGGGGGCTGTGGGGAGGGGCACACAGATGGGTGGGGCTGTGGGGAGGGATGCACAGATGGGTGGGGCTGTGGGCAGGGGGCTGTGGGGAGGGGCGCACAGATGGGTGGGGCTGTGGGCAGGGGGCTGTGGGGAGGGACGCACAGATGGGTGGGGCTGTGGGCAGGGGGCTGTGGGGAGGGGCGCACAGATGGGTGGGGCTGTGGGGAGGGACACACAGATGGGTGGGGCTGTGGGCAGGGGGCTGTGGGGAGGGACGCACAGATGGGTGGGGCTGTGGGCAGGGGGCTGTGGGGAGGGACGCACAGATGGGTGGGGCTGTGGGCAGGGGGCTGTGGGGAGGGACACACAGATGGGTGGGGCTGTGGGCAGGGGGCTGTGGGGAGGGACGCACAGATGGGTGGGGCTGTGGGCAGGGGGCTGTGGGGAGGGACGCACAGATGGGTGGGGCTGTGGGCTGGGGGCTGTGGGGAGGGATGCACAGATGGGTGGGGCTGTGGGCAGGGGGCTGTGGGGAGGGGCGCACAGATGGGTGGGGCTGTGGGGAGGGGACGCACAGATGGGTGGGGCTGTGGGCAGGGGGCTGTGGGGAGGGACGCACAGATGGGTGGGGCTGTGGGGAGGGACGCACAGATGGGTGGGGCTGTGGGCAGGGGGCTGTGGGGAGGGACGCACAGATGGGTGGGGCTGTGGGCAGGGGGCTGTGGGGAGGGCACACAGATGGGTGGGGCTGTGGGCAGGGGGCTGTGGGGAGGGGCACACAGATGGGTGGGGCTGTGGGGAGGGATGCACAGATGGGTGGGGCTGTGGGCAGGGGGCTGTGGGGAGGGGCGCACAGATGGGTGGGGCTGTGGGGAGGGACGCACAGATGGGTGGGGCTGTGGGCAGGGGGCTGTGGGGAGGGGCGCACAGATGGGTGGGGCTGTGGGGAGGGATGCACAGATGGGTGGGGCTGTGGGGAGGGATGCACAGATGGGTGGGGCTGTGGGGAGGGACGCACAGATGGGTGGGGCTGTGGGCAGGGGGCTGTGGGGAGGGGCGCACAGATGGGTGGGGCTGTGGGGAGGGACGCACAGATGGGTGGGGCTGTGGGCAGGGGGCTGTGGGGAGGGGCGCACAGATGGGTGGGGCTGTGGGGAGGGACGCACAGATGGGTGGGGCTGTGGGCAGGGGGCTGTGGGGAGGGATGCACAGATGGGTGGGGCTGTGGGCAGGGGGCTGTGGGGAGGGACGCACAGATGGGTGGGGCTGTGGGCAGGGGGCTGTGGGGAGGGGCACACAGATGGGTGGGGCTGTGGGCAGGGGGCTGTGGGGAGGGGCGCACAGATGGGTGGGGCTGTGGGCAGGGGGCTGTGGGGAGGGGCACACAGATGGGTGGGGCTGTGGGCAGGGGGCTGTGGGGAGGGGCACACAGATGGGTGGGGCTGTGGGGAGGGATGCACAGATGGGTGGGGCTGTGGGCAGGGGGCTGTGGGGAGGGGCGCACAGATGGGTGGGGCTGTGGGGAGGGACGCACAGATGGGTGGGGCTGTGGGCAGGGGGCTGTGGGGAGGGGCGCACAGATGGGTGGGGCTGTGGGGAGGGACGCACAGATGGGTGGGGCTGTGGGCAGGGGGCTGTGGGGAGGGATGCACAGATGGGTGGGGCTGTGGGCAGGGGGCTGTGGGGAGGGACGCACAGATGGGTGGGGCTGTGGGCAGGGGGCTGTGGGGAGGGGCACACAGATGGGTGGGGCTGTGGGCAGGGGGCTGTGGGGAGGGGCGCACAGATGGGTGGGACTGTGGGGAGGGATGCACAGATGGGTGGGGCTGTGGGCAGGGGGCTGTGGGGAGGGGCGCACAGATGGGTGGGGCTGTGGGCAGGGGGCTGTGGGGAGGGACGCACAGATGGGTGGGGCTGTGGGCAGGGGGCTGTTGGGAGGGGCGCACAGATGGGTGGGGCTGTGGGCAGGGGGCTGTGGGGAGGGGCGCACAGATGGGTGGGGCTGTGGGCAGGGGGCTGTGGGGAGGGGCGCACAGATGGGTGGGGCTGTGGGCAGGGGGCTGTGGGGAGGGGCGCACAGATGGGTGGGGCTGTGGGCAGGGGGCTGTGGGGAGGGGCGCACAGATGGGTGGGGCTGTGGGCAGGGGGCTGTGGGGAGGGGCGCACAGATGGGTGGGGCTGTGGGCAGGAGGCTGTAGGGAGGGGCGCACAGATGGGTGGGGCTGTGGGCAGGGGGCTGTGGGGAGGGGCACACAGATGGGTGGGGCTGTGGGCAGGGGTACCCAGGTGGGGACTGGGATGGGCAGGAACAGTCAGGTGTGTTGCAGAGCCTCCAGCATTTCTGCCTCCAGCATTTCTGCACGTGTGGGGCATGCGTGGATTCTAATGTCAGTCCTCTCTTCAGTTGCTATCAATTGAAAGAAAACGTATGTGTTTAATAAACATAAATTGAGTGCCTACTGTGTACCCCCCACTTCTAGATGCTGCAGTTGCTGCAGCCACAGCGGTGATTAGGGCAGGTCTCAGCTTCCCTGGAGTGAGTGCTCCTGTGGGCCGGC